GTGCAATGGCACGATCTCGGCTCACCGCAACCTCCGCCTCCTGGGTTCAAGCAATTCTCCTGCCTCAGCCTCCCGAGTAGCTGGGACTACAGGCACGCACCATCATGCCCAGCTAATTTTTGTATTTTTAGTAGAGACAAGGTTTCATCTTGTTGACCAGGATGGTCTCGATCTCTTGACCTCGTGATCCACCCGCCTCGGCCTCCCAAAGTGCTGGGATTATAGGCGTGAGCCACCGTGCCTGGCCAACCTTAATATTTTAAAAGGAAATGCCAATGGTTTTTAGTGCTTAGCACATTTGGATTACATTCTACCTAGTGGTCTCACTTCCAGTGACATATATACTCTTAAATCCACGCAGGGTTTCCCAATGTCTACAATCCTACTACTAGAATACATTATTTGGGCTGCTTATTCTCTTTATTCAAATTCTACTCTCTTCACAGCTCAGCTCAAAACTTATCTCTTCCTTTGAGAGGCCAACTGCTATGACTTATGAGACTGCTTCCTAGGATTAGTCCATCAATAGTTCCCCCTGACCTTTTTTTTTTTTTGGAGACAGAGTCTTGCTCTGTCACCAGGCGCCACGCTGGAGTGCAGTGGCGCGATCTCGGCTCACTGCAACCTCCACCTCCTGGGTTCAAGCAATTCTCCTGCCTCAGCCTCCCGAGTACCTGGGACTACAGGCACATGCCACCATGCCCAGCTAATTTTTGTATTTTTAGTAGAGACGGGGTTTCACCTTGTTGACCAGGATGGTCTCAATCTCTTGACCTCGTGATCCACCCGCCTCAGCCTCCCAAAGTGATGGGATTACAGGTGTGAGCCACCTCGCCTGGCAATTTAATTTTTAATGAGATGGGGGTCTCACTATGTTGCCCAGGAACTCCTGGACTCAGGCAGTCCTCCGACTTCTGCCTCCCAAAGTGCTGGGATTACACATGTGAGCCAGCATGCTGGGTTGAGAATCTTCTTATATGGTAGGTTTTTGCACACTAGCTTTTGCACACTAGGTAGTGGAATGATATAGAGAAACTCAGCTTCTGCTGATATTATATTCTTGCCTTCTGCTGTCTTTATCTCTCTTATTCAGGATGAGGAAGAGTCCTTGAATGAAGTAGGGTATGATGATATTGGTGGCTGTAGGAAGCAGCTAGCTCAGATAAAGGAGATGGTGGAACTGCCCCTGAGACATCCTGCCCTCTTTAAGGCAATTGGTGTGAAGGTGAGCATCCTGGGCTCTGGGATCCAGTTTAAAGTGGTGATTAATGACTACCCAATGTCTGATCCTGGGACTTTTTCATACGTGGCTTTCGTCATTGCCTTGGATTAGAGGGGCAATAATAAATCCTTTAATTCACCGAAGGCTCTAAATTCATTAGAGTTGATGGTCTAGAACAGAGTAAGCTAATTAAATTCTCTGTTGTGTGCATATGTGCACAATCACACATGCACACATATATATGGATTTTTTATTTACAGCTCTTAGAATGTAAAAGCCATTCTTGTCTTAGTGGACCCTGTAAAAACAAATCTCACCATAGTTTGCCAGCATATCTAGAGCAGTGTCACCCAGTAGAAGTAAGCAAGTTAAGGAAATTTTCAGAGTCTTAAAGGATTCTGAGTCTAAAACATTTGAGAACTATTGGTCTAGAATGTAGCTTCCCAAACTTTTCTATATTGTGGAACACACTGAAAATGAAATTACTCATTTCCTTAGTATGTGTTACACAAATTATTTCATCTTCTGTGTGGACAGTTTCAATGTCCTGCTTGTAAATGAGGCCATAGAAAGGGTAGTGTCAAAGAAGAAGATTGGTGATTGTAAGGAACATCATTCTAATGTGATAAATTCTGGAAGGTATGATTACTGGAGTAAGTGATCCTCTGGCAATGACGAAAATAGACCCTGCTTTCTCAAATGGCTTAGCTAGTCTTTGGCCCTTGGTCTGTCTGAAATTGAGCCCTTAGTGTAATGGCCTCTTGCCTTTCCCTAGTTACGTATCTTCAAACTCATTTGGACTAGTTTCTCTGCCCTTAGTCTCCTATGCAAGTTGCAATCATAAATGTTGCCCACTTTGTAGCAGTATTTTCCGTGCTAGTGTGGCTAAAGTAAGCATCTTCCTAGCATTTACTGCTGAGGGCTCAGTCAGGGTTGAAGACTGATTCTCACCCTCTCTGGAGCCCTAGTCAAGCCATTTTAGGGTTTGGGAGAAGGTGAGAACCTAATCACACTCTGCATTGGTCCTCAGCCTCCTAGAGGAATCCTACTTTATGGACCTCCTGGGACAGGGAAGACCCTGATTGCTCGAGCTGTAGCAAATGAGACTGGAGCTTTCTTCTTTTTGATCAATGGTAAGAGACTTGGTTCATCTTATGTCTAGCTAGACCCAATTTTGAACTGGGACTCATGAGCTGGAGAGCTCATGGACCCATCTCTTTTGCACTCATGCCCACCTGCACTTCTATAGCATATTTCTTCTGCTGGGGTATGTTACAGACAGATGAAGAATAAAGGGAAGATAGTTTCCACTGATGCTCCCTGTCCTGTCCCCCTTGAGAAAGATTGTGGACAGACTGAAGAGTGGGAGCAAGCTAGAATGAGAAATTAGTGGGTGAATGCTTATTGATTTGAGAGATTTTGGGAGAAATGAACTTGGATTGCTGGCTCTTGAAGAATGCTATTTAACTGGTAGAGATCTAGCTGGTGTGCCATCTCTCCTGCTCTAGCCATAGGTCCCAGAGCATTTGCTGTCACCTTTATACTTCTAGTTCAACTGTGAGAAGAGTATACTGAGTCCCTGGGCTTCTTTCTAGCCTGTCCTGGTGGCTATCCTGTGATAATGGTTGGTAGAGTATCTGAGAAGTAGGCAGAGGTTACCACCTTCTCACCAGGACCTGTCTTTGGGCCAGACAAGCAAGATAACTGATTTTTTTGGGAATTAGGAAAGGTTATCATTTTGTTTTTGCCTCCACTCTGTATTCTTTCAGGTCCTGAGATCATGAGCAAATTGGCTGGTGAGTCTGAGAGCAACCTTCGTAAAGCCTTTGAGGAGGCTGAGAAGAATGCTCCTGCCATCATTTTCATTGATGAGCTGGATGCCATCGCTCCCAAAAGAGAGAAAGTAGGAGCTTACCTGAAGGGATAGTGGGGGGTTGAAAGGCTCTAACTTCACTTATGACCAGACATCCTGTTCTGGCAGACTCATGGCGAGGTGGAGCGGCGTATTGTATCACAGTTGTTGACCCTCATGGATGGCCTAAAGCAGAGAGCACATGTTATTGTCATGGCAGCAACCAACAGACCCAACAGCATTGACCCAGCTCTACGGCGATTTGGTAAGGACTCCAGATACATCCAACCCTGCCCTTGCTTACGTCTCACCTCTCTCCTTCATGTAAGTCACCTAATCCTCTTGAAGCCCTTTGCAGTGATTGGGTCCAGGGGTCTTTTTCCCTTATCCTACATCCTGTCTAGACTGACCAGCCACCTTGGTTTTCCTGAAACTGAAAGGTTTCCCAGGGCTTGAGACTTTTTCACTGCTAGCATCAGGACAATCCTATGCTAACTGAGATGGTTGGTCCCGCTAGGCCTGTCTCTTCCCTCTGGACTAGAAATGAGCCCTGTCTGTGTTCATGTACTGTCTCACAGGTCGTTTTGACCGGGAGGTAGATATTGGAATTCCTGATGCTACAGGACGCTTGGAAATTCTTCAGATCCATACCAAGAACATGAAGCTGGCAGATGATGTGGACTTGGAACAGGTAAAGTGATGATGAGGGCTGACTGGGCATTACGATACCTCTGTTTCTAGGCAGTTGCTGGGAACTGGCTTGGGACATAAGGTTAAGATGTGAAGAGATTTTGATTTCTGGACAGGGGAAATGAAGTGATCTGAGATTGAATCCAGGAAATTGGAGTTGGCATGTTTCTCAGTTAACACTGCATTTAGAGTAAATCAGAATTGTTGGGGCAGCTTTATTTCTAGGCCCCAAGTCCAGAATTGAGTACATAAAACCCAACCAATAAAGACATTGCTAGTACATATTCAAGGAAATGAGAGGACCCAGGGATAGGAGTCAGGGGAAGGATTTTTATTGTCTCTGAGCCTCCTGTGGGAGCTGGAGGCAGCATAGTAAGTAGGTCTTTCTCTGCAGGTAGCCAATGAGACTCATGGGCATGTGGGTGCTGACTTAGCAGCCCTGTGCTCAGAGGCTGCTCTGCAAGCCATCCGCAAGAAGATGGATCTCATTGACCTAGAGGATGAGACCATTGATGCCGAGGTCATGAACTCTCTAGCAGTTACTATGGATGACTTCCGGGTAAGGACCACGCCCCTACCTCA